TTCTTCATCCAACATAAAATAAATTGTCTTCTGGTTGCAAATCTTCTAAAAACACTTTTCCTCTGTTCTCTGGGGAAGACACTCAAGCTGTGGCCATCTTACAACTCTAAGGACAGCATTCCTTATTGGGAAAAGTTGCACAACCGCTTTTGGTTGGAGAGAGAACATATTTGACGTGCTCTCAACCTCTCATTTAAAGATGTCTGGAGAGTTTCCATCAATGGTTGTTTTTGAAGAGAGAATTGAAGTTTGAACTCAAAGATTAATTTTATTTTTATTTTTAACAGAAAAAACCCCCCAACCTACTGGGAGGAATGTTATTCTGTTTAGAAGTGAAATATCTGAAAACTGATATGTTTTGGCCTCAAATAGTTAAATTCAAACATCCCACAACAATATTTCATGAAAATTGTTAACTTTTCCCAGGTCTTCATTTTCCTTGGAAAAATTCACATTCACATTGTCTGTACAATGTCCTCTACTTGGTCTGAGGGAGCGTGCAGCAAATTGCAGTAAATGCAGAAAGATCGCTGGATAATCTCATCTATGCTCCCTTTCCTACGAAAGGTTGGATCAGATGATCTATTGAGGTCCCTTCCAACCTGGGCTGTTCTATGATTCCAATAAAACTGGACAGACAGACTTGTCAAGGACCAGAGAATCATAAGGCACTGTGGCAGTATTCCCAAATTTAAATGATTCAGATTTTGGCCAGAATATTTTGTTTTCATTTATATTCTATTTTTCTGGTTCTTAAATCCATTTTTTTTCTGTGGGAAATGTCTTGATGAGCTCTGTTCTCTTTGAAGATGATCCCGGTCCATCTCTCAGGAGAAACTTATCACATCCCGATGATCAAGAGAATTTTAGGAAATTCACAGCTAGCCCAGGCTCCCATGTGAGACTCTAGGGTGAGGCTGGAATAGCTTTTTGGCACTGAGATCTGCTGCTAACATCTGTTGTGAGCACAACCAAAAAATTGAAGAGCACCCCCCTCCCCTGCCCTTCAAAACCTATTAATAGGAAGAGGGATTTTTGGTCAGGGTTTTTTTGCAGCTGCTGAGACTCTAGGGATCCTCGTGGAAGAGATGAATGGGGGATTTCGGGCAAGATTAGCTGCATTGATTTGGCTGTTTGCAGAAGGATTTACAGGGCATTGGAGTATCTTTAATTCATGGAATTGATCCAAGACATCCACACAGCAGTGGTTAGCCAGCCCTGCAGGTACTTAAAACTTTTAACATACCTCCCTGTTTTGCCTTGGCATTGTATATTTAAATAAAGATACATATATGCTGTAATCGCATAGATGGGGCTATTTTCATTGTGATGAAAAAGCAAAGTGAAGAACTACCTGAAGCTGTGAGAAAGGGATGATGTCTTAGGGGATTTTGGTCATTGATAGGTCTACACAAACAAACTAAACAGAAGTCAGGCTGGAATGTGCCATGGGTCTAGGAGAGCAACAGACAGGTAGGAGACTGAATAAAATCCCAAAGCATTTAACTGGGATTTTTTGGCATTCCAGAAGCCTCCTCTCCAAGCAGGACTGACAATTTACAAAAAGTGGCAGGATGCTGCAACCATTTTGATTTTGACAGAAGTGCAAAGGAACTTTTCTGTGAACTGTGTCAAGCCAGCTGTACCATGAATTTACTTTATTATGAATATATAAAAAAACCATATCGTGATAATCTTTGCATGACAGTATGACCACTGAATTTTATCTGAGAAGCTTTCAGCCACCTCTCTGGGTCACCATTGCTAGTATTTCTCTAATGTCTCTTTATTAGAGAGCAGCTGAGGGGAAAAAACCCAACAAACCCAAACACCAACAAACCCCACAACCATGGCTGATTTGTGGAATTCAGAAGAGAAAGCGAAATATGACTCTTCTTGTTACTATGGTCTCTTCTTATCTCGCAGAGGTGGCGGTGACAAGATCCCAAGCTGCTCTTGAGCTGCTGCTGGCATCTTAATTGCTTGATATTTTCCAGTGCTGTTTTCAGTTCAGGAGTAAGACCTGGTGGCTTTTTCAAGTGTTGTGTGAAACACATACATCTGCTGAGACTGGTGCCTGCTCAGATGCTGTCCTTGTGGTTACGGCTGCGCTCGGAGCACACGCTGATTTGCACTACGGTTCCGCTGCTTTGAATTAGCAGAACGCAGAATTTCCCGGGTCTGTGCTGGCTCCTGTGATGTCAATCAAGAAGTCTGTAGTGGGGAATGTGGTGAAATTACTCCCTGGCATTTCTTCGGGGTGGTAGAAAGCTCTTTTAATTCTCCGGCCATGACTCATTTCAATGCAGAAATCAGTGCAGCAAAACTTTATAGAAGGCATAAAAACAACGCATAATTTCAGTTATTTCTTTGCAGAAATACCTACAGCTTGCAATGTTTGCGGAGATTGCTTATTCTGATCAGCAGGGTACATCAGATGCTGTCCACACCTGATTCTTGTTTGTCCTCGACAGAAACTGGGCAAATGAGAAACAGAAACCTGCAGAAAAACCTCTACTCTGGGGCTTTGCAATATGAAGGAAATCTCTAAAGATGGAATTCAGCCCAGGTAGGGTTCATCTCACTTAATTTAGATGTGTACAGTGTAAATATCTTTATGTGAACTGTGTGGCTCTGCTCCCACCACAGTCAACCCAGGCCATATATTCAGTTTAAGGGTGATGAATCTCTTTCAACTGTAGATACCTACGGCTTAAATGCAAGTGTCTGGTGTCATTTGAGATGCCTCTGCCTACAACGGCCTCTCCAGAACTGTGTGGATGTCCTGTACTTTAATCAGGGGACGGGATTCATTTGCCCATGTAAGAGTTTCTAGAGCCATTCCTGATACCCTGAGATGTGTATGGGACTTGCAAGCATGCCGTTGTGGCACAGACCCTATGGGAGACTGAGGCTCTTCTGCAACGGCAGCTGAAGCCAGGTGGGACCATCCTGTGCATCTCTGTTGCACCTCCAATGCCAACGAATCCCATCCTATAACCTAGGGACCAAATTTCGGTTTCTACCTTAGGGAAGCTGAACTGCTCGCCTGGCTGCACTGATTACAGCGAGGAGATCACTGTGTTGATAAGCTGCTGTCAGAAACTTCTTCCCCGGTGCACGTGCAAACATGTGGATTGGGAGTAGTGGGCTCCGTCAGAGTGGATGAACTGAAGAGCACTAGAGTCTGGTCTGGCCAGAGCGAGCAGACAGCTCTCTGCACCACTTCTCAAGGAGACGCATCCCTTCTCTACTACCACCTCTGTGGTCGGGACCAGAATCAAGTTTCCTGGAGGTTGACAGGCTGCAGGGAAAAATGCAATTCTCCAGGCTGTCCCTGGAACACCAAAACACCTTGCCAGCTCAGTCGGGAGCAGCTTATGGTTCCTGTTCCAGACAACGTTTCCAAAGTGTCCTCTTTGGTTAGAGGAGTGAGCTTTGCTTCCCGTTATCCAAAAAGCACAAATAACCGTTACCGTGGTAATCGCGCTATTGAAGCGATGTGTTTGTCACTAATACTGTGGCGTTGCCTCAGACCTGGAATAAGAAAGCTCTGGTTCAGGTAGGATATGGACCTGCGTGCTACGGGGTACAAAGCCCGGCCCTTCTCCACTCCCCCTCCGGTCTCTCCAGTCTCCCCAACTGTTTTCACTTACGGAAGCCGCGGTGGAGCCGGGGGTGGCCCGCTTTCTGCGCAGTGCTGATGTCGCGCTTCAAAGCAGCTCGTGTCCTGTCAGCAATGGAGGTGCCACGAGTTGGGAGCAGCTGGGCAGGATAAAGCACAAGCGCTCTTCCAGCAGAGCCACCCAGAAAACCGAGGAGTGCAGGGAGGCAGGCAGCGGGGGGTCAGCCTGACAGCGCTGTCGGGAAAAGCAGGTCTCAAAGGGGTTTGAACGGTAGATTGTCAGGACGACATAGCAAGTAAGTAAAACAAAGAAATTTATGATCTCTAAAAGGTGTCTTCCAACCTAAACCATTCTATGGCTTATGATTCGACTGATATTTATCTGAAATGCCGGCACAGATCCCCTCCTCAAACACATTGCGGTTTGGTGGGTGGTTGCCTTGTTACAGGGGTTGATGTCTTTTCGGAGAAAAAAAATCGAGGCCATGCGGAAGCGACTCTGAAGTTAATTCTCCGAGAGGGGCCTCCTGATTTAGAAAAATGACACAAGCAAATACAGGTCTGAAAATTGTTAACTTCGTTTAGATGTGAAAGGAGGTTGTTTAAATAAAAGTAAAGCTGGGATTAGAAAAGCTTCAAATGGATACCCTTATCTTAGTTATTTTAATAGGAATTTGGCATTCAAGTGCCTAAAGTGGTCTGGAAAATCTCAGCCATGAGGATGTGCTTACAGCCAGCCAGTGCTATCCCAGCCCGTGTGTGGACGTGTGTGTGCGTTTCCCTGCTCACTGGATGCATTCTTCTGTAAGCAATACTGGTTCTTTGCACCTTCCCAGGAGAAGACTAGTGTGTGATCTGGGGCATGAAAGTTCCCCTGTGCCAGCAGACACATCGCTGGTCAAACTCCCATATAGCCCCGTCCTTATGTCTAAATATAAACCCATGCTTGTCTTTCAATGAACCACGGCACAACAAAGGCCAGGGGTGCCGTCCAGCCTGAAAGAGAGATATATCCTGCAGCAAGTGAGCTGGGAAGGTGTCAGCACAGCCCTGGGGAGGACAAAACCCATTGATGGGACCTGGGTCGTAACCCAACCTCCCCCTTGTACACGTCCGTGCATGCACACGAACACTGAAAATGTTTGACTCGGCGCCAGCCTCAGCCCTAAAACCCCCAAAATCTCTTTCCATTTAAGTGCTAATTCGTAACAATGCTGTAACCGATGGCTCTAAAATAGCTGGGTAAATGTCTTGTCCTTTTATAGCAGTGGCCCTATTGTAAGCTTTGGCATGTGACAGGTCTGAGAGTGACACAATGTGTGACTTCAAGAGACTGGACGGGCATAAAGACCTGTGTGCGCTGGTGATTTACCCTGCAGCAGCCACTTCTTTCCTGTCTGTCTGTCTGTCTCCTTCTCTCCCTTTCTTAAGCAGCCCACCAGCAAACCAACATGCCTCCAAAGAAGCCCGAACCTAAGAAGGCCGAACCTAAGAAGGAAGAACCCAAACCAGCACCTAAACCAGCAGAACCAGAACCCAAAAAAGAAGTTGAGTTTAACCCAGCTTCTATTAAAGTATGTATCTTTTTAACCTGGCATGGGAGGAAGCAGGCTGGTGGGGCTTGGGTTGGTGGTGGTTCTGGTGGTGGTGTATTCAGTGCTGTGAGATGACGTTCTCCAAAAGTAGCTCGTGGTTTTGAACAGAAAATGAGCAGCAAAGGCAATTGCCACAGGTAAAGTAAGAGTGGGAGCAAAGTCATTGGGGGCTCTGCTAAACAGATGCTAGAAGATGAATCTTATTTTATCTGAGGATGTTCAGACCTGTTTGTCCCATCTTATCTGCAAAGTAGCAAATTTCATTGCATGCAAGCTTCACTGACCTTAGAGGGAAACTTATTGCTCCTCTGCAGGCAATATTGCAGGTAGATGCCCAGAAGGCTTGACTGTACTCAGGGCAGACCACTAACTAACCAATGGCCAAGGCTAGATTGTAGGCTTGGAGTGGTCTTGGAGCATGGGTTGAATTCATTTATCTCTGCCTGGAATGCATCATTTTGGTAGACATCACCAGCCTGGGACTTCCTTAAAGTGAGCCAGTGACATCTCCTGTGGTTTTCCAGAAAAACCCAACTGAATAGCAAAGGAACTGTGTGCTTGTGTGTCTGTTTTAGAAGGCAGAGAGAAACTTGGGCAAAAATCCAGATTTCCTGAAGGACCTGCTGCTTTCATGTTCTGTTCCAAGGATTCCTCCAAACGGCATAAGCCTTCTCTTCCTCCTTCTCCTTTAGAGAAGTCTCTGCTGGGAAGAGTCACTGCTGATCTCAGCAGGGTTTGCTGACGTCTTGCTCAAATGTCTAAGGACAAGATTATGTTTCCAAAGTCATTTCAGAAACAGGTTTTGAGAGAAATTGGGGTCACTACTCTAATCCTGATCTGCCTAACTGGCATTACATTGCCTTTTCAAAAGCCACCAAAAAGAACTGCCAGGGAACTGCCATTGTTTAGGAAACACCCAAGGTTTTAAAGCCATGAGGTCGGTAATTCCAGTGAAATGGTGCTGGAGGTCTGTTTCCCTTTCAAATGCCTTTTTCCATGGGAATTGACCCTTCAGCAGATACCTGAGAGTGACTCTTTTATTTCAAAAGAAATTTCTCTCAGAGAATGATACGGAGAAAGAAATTATATATTGCTATGGAAATGACCATGAAATGGACTATCAAAGAGCGACCTCGACTTACAAAAATGCAATAAGCAAATAAAGACCTAAAAATGACTAGTTCCCCTTTGCTCCTTCCACAACCACACCCGTTCACAGGCAGTGTCAGAGACCCCTGCACACGTCTTTATGAACAGCCTTCCCACATTGTTTGCACACTAAACACCCCATGACACAGACACTGACGGACATAACAGGATTTCTCTGCAAGGCATTGTCCTTTGGTAAAAGGCATTGCCCTCGGGGAAAAGAAGAGGAGCTTTGCAGCATCTCACAGGTTTCTGTCTTGTGGGGATTTGGACCAGACAATGACTGGGTGCAAATCAGCATTATTTTGTTAATTAGTTTAAAGCAGCCAGATTCTTTCCTGTTTCTGACAAGGAATTGAGCAACCAGTGGGGGAGTCCTGGTGATCACTTGTGTTTAAGGTGAGCTATAGGAGATAGGACAAGTCTAGATAATGCCAAAGACGGACAGAGCTCCACTGCCATCTATGGCACCAGCTCCTCTGGGACCCTCTCTTGTTAGCTCAAAAAGAAGTTCCCCCTCAGGAAAACACAGAAATTATGTGAGAAACAGAGTAAATTACTCTGTCTCTCCACCATGCCTCCTGAGCACACCGCAACAGGTCTCGTGTGTGGCTTGTAAATCACGGGCTGCTGAAACCAGTTGCTTCTTCCGCATGGGAGTGAGTCCTGGAGCTGGGGACTGCTAGCAGAGGAAGCACTGAAAGTGGGTTTGTTCTTCCTTGAATCATAAAGACCTTGAAAATCTTTCAGTTTAAATACCGGTGAAAAAAAAGCAATCATTTGTACCTATATGGAGAAGTCAGGTGAAAAGGAATTCAGTTTTGGGCTAGTTTTTAGAATAATGACATCAGAGTCAGTGCTGTGCTCTGAGAAGAACTTCCACGGTGACCTTGGGCAGGTGGTATGTGGTGGGATCCAGCTCTCTGCTAAGGTCTCTGTACTTAACATTCCTGCACTGTAAAAGGAGGAGGGGGCAACTGCAGTAGCTTCTCTTGGAGGGCACAGATACCATCAGCCGGGATGCCATGACATTGTAGTAATATTCAGCTGGGATACTATGACATTGTGGTATGAAGGGCAGCTAAATCCAGTCGAGAGATGAGTTGTAATTTAAAAAAAAACACAACAAGACAAAAAATGATACAACTCAAAAAGTAGTCATGCATCTTTGCAGTCACCACCATTTCAAAATCGTCAAATACATTTTCATCCAAATAGGATTTGAAACCAATTAATTTCTACATTATTTTAAACTTACTTACTCTGCACACATTCATGCAAATTCTTATTTTTCCCTCCAGTGCAATTTGCAATTATGGACTCTTATCATATTTTTTAAAGTGCTAAAAATATGTATTGAGTTCCTAAAAAATAAGTAAATTCAATACTCCCATGATAACATCTCTTATCTTTGCAGAGACTATTCCATTATCTATTATATTCAAAATTGGACTAAGGAAAGCATTGGTAGATGCATGGTTTGGGTCTGGGTGTTGCTTCTTTTTTTTCTAAAACTCATAGCTAGGAGAGATGATATTCTCTGGAGAAGTTTTTCTGGGAAATTTTCAATTAAATGTTTTTAATCAAAAATTCTTTTCTCAAAATTGAAGTTATTTGTGCACAAGGGCTGGGTCTGGAAAATATACGGCTTCCTGTTCCATAAACCTAGCTCTGGTGGAGCTCAGGCCATCTGGTGTAGATCAGAATACCTCCCTAGATCATTGTACAACTTTTGAAAAAAATGCTTTAATAAGTTTTGAAATTCTCCAAACATTCTGTTTCTGCATTCCAGGATGAAACTGGTTCTTGTTTTCATGCAGAAGATAATCTATAGTTTAAAAAAGGCAAGGAGAACAAACTTGTATAAAAACAAAATGTTAAAAATTACCAAAATGCATCTTTTGATGGGAACGTCTCAACTTACCAATATTTATTCTCAAACCTTATCGTGCAATTTTGTATTTGAAATTTTTAAACTGTGTTTTAGACCCTAAAGATCTCAAAACTACAATATTTCCATGGAAGAGAAGAGTACTTCTTGTTTCAGTTTTCCTCGCTGTTACAGTCTGCTGGCATGATAATGGTGTAAGAGCGAGCCTTTTTTTGCACTCCAGGATCATATTAGATTTTCCCATTGTCTTTCTCTTGTTGTTTCATGGTCTCAATCTGTATTGAGTCAGTATTGGGCCGTCGGTTACAGTGACCTATGTGTGAGGGACGTCTCCTTATGTAAATGCAGTTATTCTGAAGTTTTAGTGTTACTCACATATACATTCCCGTAGGAACTAACCCAATACATAGACATTTTCAAAGTAGATTGGGTGTGACTGAATGTTGTTTGCAACTCATAGACAAGAAGTTTTGGGTTTTTTGTGTGGGTTTTTTTTTTTTTTTTGTAAGAGTTTGGCTGAGTCCACAAGGAATTCTTTTTTAAATGGCCTCTGAACCTCTTTACTTTGGGGAACGGATTGTCCTTAAGATATGTCGTAGCAAGAAAATTGTCTTTTCCATATATCCAATTCATTTCCTCTTGAATGCTGTCTTTTAGCAGAGGGGTGTATTTTGCCAGAAATATATTCTGCTCCCCTGAAAAATAGTAAGGCTGATGAAAAACAGGATTCATCTTTTATTGTTATGGACACAGAAAGTGGGACTGGTTCATCTAGGTTTAACCACCGGAAAGCTGATCACCGACCTTAAACAGAACCTCTATAACCCGCAGAGAGAAACTCTCTAGAGGTTTATCCCTCGCAGCGATGCTACACAGCTCTATCAGGATGGATCGAATCACCCGTGGGAGATGTTGATCCGTTGATAAAGTGAGATGAGAGAGGTATTTGGGTGCCAGCGTTTCAGCAGCTAACGTTAGCTGGGATGACATGTGCTCAAAGTCAGTGAGTCCTGGGTACAAAAAACCCAGAGACAGACCGCTGGCGTAAGCGAGGGCCTGGAGGGGACACGGCTTACCATACAGTTATCCTTAATAACCACACTTTCCTGCTTCATCACTTGATGGGCTTATTGTAGCCGCACGCCACAACACAGGTGCCTGGGGAGAAACCGGTCATCGTTCGTTTTTGTGGAGCGCTGTGATCTTGCAGCCCTGTGAAACCTGTCCCCCCAAAAAGCCCTGCGGGCTTCCGAACCTCTGCTGGGGCACTGCAAAAATAGAAGATTCTTCCTGCTTTCCGGAAGAAAAGATGTAAGGGCGTCCGGGACGGGAGCAGCCACGCCGTGCAGCGCCTGTGAAGGTGGGACGCTGGCGGGCTCGTCCGCGCAGCTCCGAAGCACCGCGGGCGCGGCGGCAGGGGGGCTGGACTAGGTGACCTTAAAAGGTCCCTTCCAACACAAAGATTCTATGATTCTATGATTCTATACCCGTGAGAAGGGCTGAGATGGCGTAATGGAAAAGCAGGAGTTACTTTGTGGATAAAAAGGATTTTGTTTGTCGGGTAAATGTGTTGCATTAATGTGCACGAGAGGAAAAAACGATCTATTAAACATGAGGCTGTATTAAATAAATTCAGTTTACGGGAGTAACGAATGTGTGTACAAGAGAGGGTGAAGCAGCACATGGAGTTTTGTAGCTGCATGAGAGGTTTTGAATGTACCTCTTATGCAGAGAGAGGAATTTAGCTACATCCCTCAGAAGAGAGGGGAGTGTGTGTGTGTAGGGTTGAAGGGTTTTGTAGGCAAAAAAGGTTTCTTTTTGGATAAGTAAGCCGATGCGTTAGCCCACTTGAGAGAAATTCCGAGTGTGCAAAAGAAATATTTTATCTGGATGCGTGAGGGGAACGGGACATGAGCTCATGGGCGCGCAGCTCTTCTGG